AGCCAAGACTTGATAGACTTGGGCTTATCTGCCACACAACATTGTACCTTTTGTTCATTCATTCATCTATTCAATCATTACTTATACAAATAACTTCCTTGATTGTGTGACACTATCTGTGTATAATAATTAGCAAAAGAATTCAAAAAAAGAACAGGATAGCGGTTAATGTCTTGATTGTAAATACTTTTAATGAAAAAGCATAAAAGGGATAGGATGACTTAGCAGAGAGTAACATCTGCATAAAAACAATAATTTCAAAAATCAAAGATCTCCAGTCAATGGGTGATAGTCTGCCAGAAGATCTGTTAGGTCTTGAAGTCAATTTCAGCAGTGGTATCTCTTTGTGCACACTGAGCTGCTTTAGATGTTAGTCTAAGAAAGGGTGATTTTTTTCTTTGATATGTAAAGTTCAAAGGAGCTTTGTTATACTGCAAGTTGAATAATAGCAAGCAGGTGAAAATAATTCTGGGTTGACTGGTAAACTGTCCTCCACCCAAATTGCAAATATTTGCGCAAAATCAGGAAAGAACAAAAACAGCAAAGTAGCAATGAAAGGAAATGAACCTCCCAGGAATCTGGAAATGGACTTTGATGTCCTTTGATTTTATTGTAAAATCAGCAATTTAAACCAGGCCAAGACAAATAATAACAAAAATAGTAATATTTTATCTCTTGGTTGTGTGTTCAGGCTAGATAGCCACTCAACTCATACAAAACACAACACTTGAAGTTCTTAAGAGGAGAGATTTTACTAATAATATTTATTATTAATTTTTAAAGAGAGGAGCCATTCTCATCCCCCTCACCCTCACACTACCTTGTTGGAAAACCTCCCCAGAAGGCCACACATGGCGATATTCCATAAAATGTCCCTTGCAGAAGAGTAGGAAGGAGCCGGGAAGGCTGCTGACCGCTGTACCTCCCCCAGCAGCATAATGGCCCTTCAAAGATTTCACATTTCAGTCTCTAGAACCTATGAATATGCTACCTTACGTGGCAAGAGGGACTTTGCAGAAGTGATTAAATTAAGGAACTTGAGATGCAGAGATTATTGTGGATTAGCCAGGCAGACCCAATCTAATCACATGAGTCTGGAAAAGTGAAGAACCTTTCCCAGCTGTGGTTAGAAAAAGTTGTGACAATGGAAGGGTCAGAGTGATGCTGCATTGCTGACCTTGAAGATGGAGAGTACGGGCCATGAGCCAAGAAGTGTGGGCGTCCTTTAGCAGCCAGGAAAGGCAACTAAAAGAATTCCCTGCTTAGAGCTTCCAGAAAGAAGTGCAGCCCTGCTGACAGCTCGATTTTAGCCCAGCAAGATTGATGTTGGACTTCCAATATAAGAGCTATAAAATAATATATTTGTGTTATTTAAAGCCACCAAGTTTATGATAATTTGTTACAACAGCAATAGAAAACTAATACAGGAGAGACCAAGTCAAGGCAGTTAAATAGCCTGAGGCTTTTAATCAGCGGGTCCTTTCTCCCTACTGCTCCATGTTAAACCAGGAGATGGATACGTCATGGTTGGGGGGACACCTAAGTAATTTCTAGCTTCTTAGACCAAAGTCAAAGCCTGTTGAATTCCATGTTACTTTTACTAATCTATTAGATTATGATTTTGTTTTTATACTCACTAAAGGAGATAAATTGTATATTAATGTCTTTAAGATCATTTATTTGCCTCCCCTCTATCTGAAGACCTAGATTGAATTATTAATCAAAAGAATACTTCTTTTATTGTAAAGAAATCTACCCTATAGCCAAGGGCGATTTTTACCTTAAGACTGACGGCTTCAGTTGGACCAAACAATATAAAAGCAGACAGTATTCACTGGACCCACAAACTAATATTATTGTTATTATCACTATCACAAATAGCAAAACTTGGGCATATTCAAATATATTTATCACTATTGCTCAAAACTACCCTCATACACATTCCGCTTATGAACATATTAATTAAAAGCATTTGGTCTTAGGCCCACATATAAATAAGGTATAAAATAATAAATTAACTTTCAGTGGGTAGGTCCTCAATCACGGACCTTTCTGGATTAAACAAAACCAAATCTTCTGACTCTCTTTGTTACATAAGCCAGACTAATATTATCTTCTCTTTGAAGATTATCTTCTATCTGTTTATGCCAGAAGTAGAAGGGTCAGAAAAAATGCTTATATTTACACTCACAGCTTATTCTTTCTCTCCCCATTCATGTTCTTGTCGAATGAGGGGAGTTCTTTTAAACTTCCTCTGGAGTGATTGATCTTTGACTTTGATACCGGATTAGCTCCTTGGTCCACAGCCCTGAGTTACAGAGCCCCCTCATCCCAGATCTTTCGTTGGGAGTTTTGGAACAAAGGAGCCCCACTTGGCTTTCCCTACCTAGCCCACCAGTGGCAAACCCAAAGAACTTTATATTTGAAACCCCTCTGGTTCCCGGATGGAGGTGTGGAGCCAGGAAACTCCTGCCTTTGAAATCATGCCCTTCCCCGACCCAGGAAGAGAAGTTTTTTTTAACACAGTCCCTCATTACCACTTTCCAACTCTTATAACAATTCCTTTTTCATTTACTCACTCTCTTTCCCACTCATCACGGCCTTCTTTCACCCAGGAAGGATGGTCTAAATTTCATTCCCTGATGCCAAAGCCTAAATGATAAAATTTAAATATATAAAGAACTTACCTGGCCGGGCACAGTGACTCACATCTGTAGTCCCAACACTTTGAGGGGCCGAGGCAGGTGGATCACCTGAGGTCAGGAGTTCAAGACCAGTCTGGCCAACATGGTAAAACCCCATCTTTGCTAAAAATACAAAAGAGTTAGCCAGGTGTGGTGGCGGGCACTTGTAATCCCAGCTACTCAGGAGGCTGAGGCAGGAGAATCACTCGAATCTGGGAGATGGGGGTTGCAGTGAGCTGAGACTGCACCGTTGCACTACAGTCTGGGCAACAGGAGTGAAACTCTGTCTGGAGAAAAAGAACATGCCTGTGACAAAGCTTCAGATAATTTAGCACTGTGAAAGGCAGGTTACTCTGAAGTATGAATGAAGTATGAATGAAGGTTAAGTTTCAGGCCCCTCTCATGGTGGGTCTTCTCATGCCTGGACTCCTTAGAAAGTCCCAGGAAGGATCCTGACGCATACATTCACATACATGTAGATTTTTGTAAAACTTGCAAAAGTAAATTTTTTTTCTGTCTTTTTTTTTTTGTTTAAGAAATAGGGTTTTGCTCTGTGGCCCATGCTGGAGTGCAGCTCCATAGTCATAGCTCACTGCAGCCTTAAACACCTGGCTCAGCCTCCCAAGTCACTGGAATTAAAGGCTTGAGCCGTTGCACCTGGCTCAGAAGTAAAATATTTGTATTGCTATTGGTTATGACCTTGTCTCCTTCTGCTTTGACTTCCCATCTTTTACATTGCAATCAGGTGGTATTACTGGGGACATAAGTGTTTTGGGGAGCTGACTAAGGGAAAGTTGAATTGGGGAATATATTAAATTGTGGTTTTTAGTAGGGTATATTTATGAGAGTCAAGTCACTTCTTTACATAGTTAAGCTATTACTGACTGATCTGGCATAGAAATGGCTTCCGGATTCTTCTCGTGCACTTGAGCCAACATACCAGGCATCATGTTGAAGGACTAGGGCTAGAGGCCATATCAGGATATATATATATATATATATATATATATATATATATATAAAACCTACTGTCCTGTAGTAGGAGTATGTGGGGAGAGAGAGAAGCAGGGTCTGTAATGTGTAGAGCCAGAAGCAATTCTGTGGAAAATTCCTTCGAATATCTGACATGTAAAATTGTAAACAAAGGATTCGATTCTCATCAATGCCCCATCAAGACAGAAATTCTCTCCTGTTCAGGAACATACTTGATAATACATTATACATAATTATAAACCTAAAATACATTTTCATGAAAGTCATCTAAAGTAGATTTTATCAGAATTCTTGGGTTTCTGATGCATTATCCTGTGGCATGAACACATCTATGTGTGAGGTTGCGTGTTTTATGCATCCCATCTATCACTACTCAAACACAAATTTAGACCAACCATGCTAGAGGAAGACTATGTTCTATCTATAGAAACTCATGTTATAAAATTGGTGTTATATAACGAGGTAATCAAATAATATGTAGCCACTGATATCCCAGCACTTTGGGAGGCCGAGGTGGGTGGATCACCTGAGGTCAGGAGTTCAAGACCAGCATTCCCAATATGGTGAAATCCCACCTCTACTAAAAATACAAAAATTAGCCAGGCATGGTGGCAAGCACCTGTAATCTCAGCTACTTGGGAGGCTGAGGCAGGAGAATTGCTTGAACCTGGGAGGCAGAGGTTGCAGTGAGCCGAGGTCACACCATTGCAGTCCAGCCTGGGCAACAAGCACAAAACTCTGTCTCAAAAAATAATAATAATGATAATAATATGCAGCCAAATATGTAGAAAAATAAATTATAAAAAGCTGTCAGAGAATTAAAAAGCAAAAATAGAGTTCTAGATGTATGGGTATTCATAGCATTTATCATCTTTCTAATGTTTGTAATTTATTTTTTAATCTCTTTTTATTCTAAATATTTGCTTTTATAACTAATTTTATATTTATAATTTTACACTCTTTTTCTTAAATAGAAGATTAAATAAACTTCAAGTCCCACAAAAGCTCAATCTACTCTTCCTATCCAATTCTAATGACTGGTTACCCAAATTTGTCAATTCATAATAAAAGCCTTTATTGCCCATTGGCAGTCTCTGGTTTGCTTCTTTTTTTGTTTTAAATTAAAGACAAGATCTCTCTCTGCCACCCAGGCTGGAATGCAATTGCAAGATCCTAGCTCACTATGGCCTTGAACTCTTGGACTTGCAAGATTCCCCTGCCTTAGCCTCCAGTGTAGGCAGGACTACAGGCACATGCCACCATGGCTGGCTAATTTTGTTTAATTTTTTTGTACAGAAGGGGTCTCACTATGTTGCCCAGGTTGGTCTCAAACTCCTGACCTCAAGCAATCCTCTCACCTTGGCCTCTCAAAGTACTGGGATTACAAACATGCCACTGTCTGCTTGGTTATCTTTTATGTCTAAACCCACGGGGAAAATAAGAGAAAACAAACAAATAAATACCATGATAGTTTTGAAAGTGAAATTTATATCCTGAGCACGTGTCAAACATCAATTACCACCCAAGTCTTGTCAATCTCTGCTTCCAGTGGAATCCAAATAAAGAAACATACCTGTATTAGTTTGATAGGGCTAGCGTAACAATGTACCACAAACTGGGTGGCTTAACCAAGAGAAGTGTATTGTCTTAGTCTGAGGGCTGGAAGTCGGAGATCAAGGTGTTGGCAGGGCCGGTTCCTTCTGAGGACGTGTGGGTGAATCTGTTCGGTGCCTCTCTCCTAGCTTCTGGTGGTTGCTGGCAATCAGTATTGCTTGGCTTATAGTTGCATGCCCCCAATCTCTGCCTTCTCTTCACACAGTGTTCTTCCTGTGTGTGACTCTCTATGTCTAAATTTCCCATTTTTCTAAGGATAACAGTCACATTGGAGTCGGGTCCACTTTAATGATTTCATCTTCTCTTGTCTACATCTGCCTAAGCCCTGTTTCCAAATAAGATCACATTTCTGAGTAGTGGGGATTAAGACTTCAACATCTCTTTACGTGTGACATAATTCAGCCCATAACAATGCCTTACTTTTTTTGTACTTTCCTTCTACAAAAGCAAGTAATGATAGTACTCAGTATTGATGAGAATACAATGTGCAGTAAGGTGAACATTCCCATTGCTATTGGGAATGTCAATGAGAACATTAGAAACAAGTAATTTAAGTTCATTTTAAGATGTAAATTCCAGAAAGTCAGGGACCTTGTCTGTTTTCCTCACCACTGTTATCTCAGCTGCAAAACACAGCTTATCACACAACACATACTCAATGAATACTTGTTTTGAATTGATGTATTATCTTGAAATGCCTATACTGAATGGTTATGGTTTGGTATTGGTTAGAATAACTAGACAGAAGAAAATGTTGTTAAATACCATACTCTTGACTAAATAGATGGGAAGCTTCCTCTCAACCTATCTATTCAAAAACATAATTTAAGTCTTTATAGAAATAATAAAATATGTTTGCTGGAATTCATACAATGGTATAAGACCTATAGCTAATATTTAACTCTATAAAAAACATGTATATTGTATATTCAGTAAACCACAAATAGTTAAGTTTCCATTCTGTCCCCAATAAGGAATTGGTAAAAATGATTACCCTAGATAAATCTCTTTCACCTTTAAAATTTCATTAAAAATTTCAAATCTCATAGAAACCCCAAAATGAATTCTCTAATCCCCTGAGTTAAGTTAGGTTCTCCTGTCACTCACTCCAACAGATTTCAGAATTTCAATGTTGTTAGTACTTATCAATTTGAACTTAAATAATGTTTTATTATTGTTTTAATGCCTAGCTTTGTCACTATTACACAATCCATGAAAGCATACTCTTCTTGTCTTTTTCACTAAGGTAATTTAACCCCCAATATTTGCTTAGTGCCTAGTATATATTTGCTGCTCAATAAATATTTGCTAAGTCAACACAGAAATTACTGAAAGAATGAAAGAGCGAATAAATGAATGCATGCATGGAAGTATGGCTAAATGAACATGGGTTCATGCAGTCTTTGCCCAATTCCCCTGCTTTGGACTTTACCTAAGTTCTGCTGATGATCTTCCTCAATAGCTTTGTCCTAAAACAGTATTTTCAGGAATGTCATTTTCTTTCATTTTTTTACCCTAATTTCTCTGCAGAAATTCTGTCTTTGAGTTTGCTCAAAAAAATAGTCTATATCAATTTTATTGCAAAGGAGATGTTGTTTTCCTTCAATAAACTCTGCAAGAATGCCTACTGCTGCTTGTTTATCAGAGGAAGCTTCCCTTTCTATTTGCACGACCCTGTAGTTTTCCAGCCCTTTAATCTGGTTCTCTGTATTCCCTGGTCAGCAGCCTCTAGGTTGTGCCCACATCATGTGGATGGAAGCTAAATTCTTCTTTTGGTGGACAAAGTAACTTACTGATTGGGGTCAGGGCTACAAAAAGATCCCCACTGGGCAGAAGAATGCATGTAGTGAAGCTTCCTTTGTAACATTGTTAGGAATTATTTTCTGGGTGCAACAGGGAAGGCTGTTTTTTAATTGAACCATTTCAGGTCCACTGTATCTGCAAAACTTTTATTTCCATTTGGAGTCAATTATAAATAATGGTATATTTATTTTTATGAAAATCTTTATATTTCTTTAAGATAGTCTACAAGTGAAGATGCCAAGTCATTGTTGAATGCAGACTTTTTCTTTTTGAAGGATTTTGATACAAATTCGAATTGCTTGTCTAAATTTATATAATCAGTACAAAAGAGGGTCCCCTTAACTGAACCTTTCCCAAGGATATATATTATTATTTTAAAAAGCAAATCTTTAGGCCTAGGTACAGTAGCTAACACTTGTAATCCAGCACTTTGGGATGCTGAGGTGGGAGGACACTTAGGTCAGGAGTTCAAGACCAGCCTGGGCAACACAGCCAACTCCATTTCTACAAAAAGATTATTTTAAATTATCAAGCAGTGATGGTGTGTGCCTGTAGTCCCAGCTACTCCGGGGGCTGAGGTGGGAGGATCTCTTGAACCCAGAAATTCAAAGAATGCAGTAAGCTATGATTGTGCCACTGAGCTCTAGCCTGAGCAACAGAGTGAGACCCTGTGTCAAAAACAAAACAAAAACAAAACAAAAAACACAACTAAACTTAGTAACAGTATTAGTGAAAAATGATCGCTTTTTTTGTGTTGTTTGTTTTTTTGGTTACTATCAAGGATACATGCTTGCATATGAGTTGACTAGATGAATTTTCTCTTTTGGGTAATGATCTCTTCATAATATTCCAACTATCAACAGGGGCCCTACTGGTTTTCATATCTGTTTGCATGAGCTTTTTATGTAGAAACTATATTCACTTCAACATTTTATGGAAAATATTTTTCCATTTTAATATTTGCCTAATGGTTGTTTTGTGTATAGAACTTTTCATTTTTATAGATCTGCTGGTCTTTGCTTTACATTTTTTTTCCTGTTATTTCTAGTATAGGAAAACTTTCCCCATATAGAATTTTTATAAATAAATATCCATGTTTCCTTCAAATGTTTCTACTGTTAAAATTTTAAACATTAAAATTTTTAACCAATTTAGAATTCACTTTGGTGTGTGGAATGAAATGAGAAATCAAAGCTTTCATATTTCTAGACATTCATGTCATCACCATTTATTGAATAATTGGTCCCTGCTTAAGGGTTTATAACATGCTTCCTATGGCATAATAGATTCTTATGTAAAATAGCGTCACTTTACGAGTCTCCAAAACAAAATGTCCTAGACAAATTTTTCTTCAAGCATGTGCTACATTTTATTAATGTGCTACAAGGGCTCCAAGAAAGTGACAGAAACATGTGCCCATATAAAATTGGAGGGGTTATACAGCGAGAGACAGAAGGCTTACATAAGCAAGCAGCTGTTTAAAAAAAAATTAGAAAGATTTCATTTTTATTTTACAAAGTCATGAAAATATCATGTCCGTATCAGTTGTGAAAAAGGAATGATGTGGCAGAATGATCCATTATCCTAGGTGTGCATTAATTATACTTTTCAGGTATGTTTTAGAAGCATTTGTCAGTTAATAAAAATAAACCACGAATGCTTCGATAGGGATTATAGTAAACCACCTTCTTGGCCTCTAGGACTCTAAACTCTCCAGGTTCTCTCCTATTTTGTTAGCTGCCTTCTTTCAGTCTTCTTTGCTGGATCTTCTTTCTTGTCCCAAATTCTTTGTGTTGGTGAGCCCCAGGAGTCTCTCTGCGTTCTCTCCGTGGATGACCTCATGCAATCCTCTGGCTGTACATTCCATCTACTTGTTGATGGCCCAACATGTTTCTGTGAGTTTCATGCTCTTCTGGCAATTGCCTACTCAACATCTTCACTTGGAGTCTAATAGACATTTCACACTTAACATGTCTTAAGACTCCTGGTTTCATTCACCAGCTCTTGTTCCTTTCCCAGTCTTCCCAAGTGAAGTAATTAGCACCGTGATCCAACCCGTAGCTTCAGGACAAAAACCGGGGGACCAATGTGGATTTCTCTCTTGGTCTCACCCTTCATACACAACCCATAAGCAAATACTTTATGTCTATCTCCAAGATATATCTGAAATCTACTTCTGGTTCTTTCTACCCTTACCACACAAGTACAAGCCTGTCTTTTCCAGATTGAATTACTGAAATAGCCTCTTAACTGTTCTTACTGCTCTATTTTCCCCTCACCCCTACCTTGTCTATTCTCAGCACCAAGACCAAACAGGTCTTTAGAAAAACCATATTAGATCACATCCTCACCTAGTCAAAATAGGCACCACAGGACTTAGGCCCCAAAGTCCTGTTCTACCAGGGCCTGCACAGTCTGCCCTCACGTTACCTCCATCTTCATCTTCCACAGGTCCGCTCCGTACTCACTCTGCCTTAGCAACACTGCATTGCTTGCAGTTTCTGGACTACATCAAGCTGGTAGCATGTTGGGGTCTTTGCATTTGTTGTTCCCTCTGCAAGAAATACTGCTCTCCCAGATAGTCACATGGCCCTCTCCTACACTTTATTTAAGTGTCTGTTCCAATGTTACTCCCTCAATGACCTTCCCTGACCGCATTCCCCTTCTTTCATTCTCTATTTTATTTGTATTTTTTTTATTATACTTTATATTCTGGGGTACATGTGCAGAATGTTCAGGCTTGTGACATAGAGATACGTGTGCCATGGTGCTTTGCCGCACCCATCAACCCGACATCTACATTAGGTATTTCTCCTAATGCTATTCCTCACCTTGCCCTCCACCCACCGACAGGCCCCAGTGTGTGATCTTCCTCTCCCTGTGTCCACGTGTTCTCACTGTTCAACTCCCACTTGTGAGTGAGAACATGCGGTGTTTAGCTTTCTGTTCTTGTGTTAGTTTGCTGAGAATGATGGTTTCCAGCTTCATCCATGTCCCTGCAAAGAACATGAACTCATCCTTTTTTATGGCTGCATAGTAGTCCATGGTGTATATGTGCCACATTTTCTTTATCCAGTCTATCATTGACAGGCATTTGGGTTGGTTCCAAGTGTTTGCTATTGTGAACAGTGCCACAACAAACATACATGTGCTTGTGTCTTTATAATAGAATGATTTACACTCCCTTGGGTATATACTCAGTGATAGGATTACTGGGCCAAATGGTACTTCTAGTTCTAGATACTTGAGGAATAGCCACACTGTCTTCCACAGTGGTTGAACTCTCACAAACAGTGTAAAAGCATTCCTATTTCTCAATACCCTCTCCAGAGTCTGTTGTCTCCTGACTTTTTAATGATCACCATCCTAACTGGTGTGAGATGGTATCTCACTGTTATTTTGATTAACCCTATTTTAGTTTTATTCGATGCAGACATCATTACCTGACACTATATTATATTAAGGCTTTATTTGTTTGTTGTGCCAACTCCACGAGAATCTAAGCACCAGGAGGGCAGAGCCTTTGTGTCGTTCATGACTGTAGCCCTAGTACCTGGCATTTTGCTTGGTACATAGTGGGTGTTCAATAAATACTTGTTAAATGTCGTGATTAAACCTATATTATTTTGAAAATATTTATATCAACATCTTTCTGCCCTGGAACATAGTGTATTTTTCCATTTTCTTGAACTTTAATAAATATATCTCAATATAATTTTGTTCTTTTCTTTGAATATTTGAAAGACATGCATTAAAGCTACTTATAGATTTGTATATATTTTTTCTTATTACTATGTATGGGCTTTATTTTTTTTTTAATCATCTCAAATCTTTTTTAGAAAAGGTAAACTATATATGTACATATGAATATGAATAAATTTAAAAGTTTCTAGCTGATTATTACAATTATATTGGAATGCTTTTGATTTCTGCCTATCTTACATTCATCCACTTATGTTTAAACAATTTTCAAATGATTTATTTGGAATTATAGTTTTACAATAACTGTCACAAAATAAGTATCATTTTATCTCGTCTTTGTTAATAGCACATCTTTTGTATCATGTCTTATTGCATTGATCACAGCTTTCAGAATAATATTAAACAATATTCTTTTTTGTGCATATTTTAATGGGGATCTCACTAATGTTTTGCTATTAAATATAATGATGGCTATTGGTTTTAATCGAATACTTTTTCTTACATTGAGTAAATATTTTCTCTATTTCTCCTCTTAAATAATATTATCAGGGATTGTTGTTGATTCTTACCAAATACGTTCTAAGCATGTATAGAAGCAAGGCTACTCTTTTGCATTTGACATAATAATTGGATGTATTATGTTAATGGCCTTCCTGTTATTTAACAACTTGTACCTCTCTGAAATTAACTAGGTGACTATGGTGGATTATTCTTTTATATACTACATTTGCAACTTGATAATATTTATTTTGGATGGTTTTTAGCTTCTTCTTCTTTTCTTGAGACGAAGTCTCACTCTGTCAGCCAGGCTGGAGTGCAGGGGTGCAATCACAGCTCACTGCTGCCTCAGTCTCCCCAGGCTCAGATGATTTTCTCCCCTCAGCCTCCTGAGTAGCTTGGACTACAGGTGCATGCCACCACCCCCAGCTAATTTTCGTATTTTTTTTTTAGCCAAACAAAACAAACAAAACAGGCATTCTTGGTTATCAGAACTTTTTTTTTGAAAGAAAGAAAGAGAAAGAGAAAGGGGGAGAGAGAACAGGAGTCTTGCTCTATTGCCCAGGCTAGAATGCAATCTAAAAATAGGTATTAAAATCCTCTTTTATGCCGATAATTGTGCTTAACAGCAGAGACAGGAAGGAATAAGGGAAGAAAATAACAAACAGCCAACCAATATTTCATTTAAGTCTGTGGATTTTTACATTTTTTGTAGAGATGGGGTTTCATCATGCTGCCCAGGGTGGTCTCGAACTCCTAGGCTCAAGTGATCTGTCTGCCTTGACGTCCCAAAGTGCTGGGATTACAGGTGTGAGCCACCACACCCAGCCAGTTGTGGGCACCCAGCCAGTTCTCAGTAAGTGCTAAATATTTTAATTCAGAGTTTTCTTGCTGCTCTTTCTTCCTGTTCTTGTCTACCTGTCATTTCACTATTACTACCAATTCTTATTATTCCCGGTAAACAGACAGATAATAGGGAGGAAGCTATTACTTCTCAGCTTCAGAGTCTTGTCTCAAAAGTAAAAATAGCCCTGTAATCTTCTTAATGGGTAAGAAGGAGCAGGTGGTAAATATCTACAGAAAATGGTTCCATCAAGCTGGATTAGTGTTGTGTCACCTTCCAATATAGATAAAAGCCTGTCAAGCCTCCATTTGACATTTGTTAATGGGAACTACTATTTGTTGAAAGCCTTTGTGTGTGTGTGAGGCACTTTACATCCATTATCTCAGACTTCATCTTAATTCTAGGAATTGGATATTAATATTCCCATTTTATAGATGGAGAAACTAAGGCAGGAAAGGGCTAAATAATTTGAACTGTTCGAATAATTTAACAGTTTAAATGGCTGTTTGTTGGTAGAGCTGGAATTTAAACACAGGGATCACTGGCTCCAAAGCCCACTCTCTTTTCATACAGTGACAAGGCTCACAGGGCAGTGCTCTGAAGAAGCAAGACCTCAGAAGATAAGCATGCTGCAACACAGGACGTTATGACTACTGCGGAAGAGTCGAGCACAATGTTACTGCCATTCAGATTCGTTTGGAAAGAGCTGGAGAGCCAATGGGAAGGAGGTGACATAGAATGGGGAGGAGGGCATTTCAGGTGGAGAAGAGTAAGGGCAAAGGCATAGGATCTGAAAGCCTAGGACGTGTTTATGGAAGAAAGGATAATGCTCTTTAGATGGTGGACTGTGTCCATGCTGCTGTGTAATCAAAGATACGGCTGGAAACTTTGAGTTCCTATTGTGAAACCTGAGAGATAGATGAAGGGGTTTGTTTTTAAAAGGTAGGCAGCGGGGAGCCATTGCAGTTTTATTTTTGAGACGGAGTCTTGCTCTTCACCAGGCTGGAGTGCAGTGGCACAATCTCAGCTCACTGAAACCTCCGCCTCCTGGGTTCAAGTGATTCTTCCACCTCAGCCTCCCGAGTAGCTGGGACCACAGGTGCGTGCCACCATGCCCGGCTAATTTTTGTATTTTTAGTAGAGACAGGGTTTCACCATGTTGGCCAGGATGGTCTTGATCTGTTGACCAAGTGATCTGCTCACCTCGGCCTCCCAAAGTGCTGGGATTACAGGCATAAGGCACCGCGCCCAGCCTATGCAGTTTTAAGTAAGTGGCTAACAAGTCAGATTGGGATGGATCATAGTGGGTAAAGATGGGAGAATGACACCCTGATCACGTGACTGTAAACAATGTATCAGGTAATAAATGGAGCCTGGTTTGAAGAGTGGCAGGAGGAATGAAAAGCAAGGACCTGGTTTAGGATCAGACGCAAGGGCGGATTTACTGCATTTGCGCAGCTAGGATGCTGGGGCACAGGGAATGGCAATCATGGATGCCTTCAAGTCCCTGGGAGCCTGAGTCACTGGAAGAAGGGTTCGGCCACTACCCATAGGAGGACCTTGGAAGGCAAGACTGGCTGGTGGAAAAAGAGATGATGAGACACCTAGAGAGAAGGTGGTTGTTTAGTGGATGAGATTTGGAGTCATCTACCTCAAAATGATAACTGATATTGTGGGTGTCATTAATGTCTTTCTTTTTTTTTTTGAGACGGAGTCCCACTCTGATGCCCAGGCTAAGTGCGGTGTCCAGATCTCGGCTCACTACAACCTCTGCCGCCTCCTGGGTTCAAGCAATTCTCCTGTCTCAGCCTCCTGAGTAGCTGGGACTACAGGTACATGCCACCACGTCTGGCTAATTTTTGCAATTTTAGTAGAGTCGGGGGTTTCACCATATTGGTCAGGCTGGTCTCGAACTCCTGACCTCAGGTGATCCATCTGCCCTCCTCGGCCTTCCAGACTGCTGGGATTACAGGCATGCGCCTCCGTGCCCGGTAATTAATGTCTTTTAAGAGAGCAATTTTAGTAAACATCGAAGAGCTGAAGCCAGGCAGAAATTCTCAATCCTAGTTACACATCAAAACCACCTCTGTATCTTAAAAACCACAACTGTTGAATCAGAATCCCCAAAGCAGAAGACCAGACCCCTCTATCATTTAATATCACCACAGGGGATCTGCTGGGCAGCCAGAGTTGAGCACCACTGGGGAAAAGGTAGAAAGTTTGCTGTGAGAAAGCAAGAGTGAGACAGCCTCTTACCTAGCCCAGAAGAGACATGTGCCATCTGGGTTTCCCTTCAGGTTTCCTCTTTCATATCCTTCAAGCACCTCTTTGTTTTGCAGATTCAACTGATACCTTGTTAATACTTTTTACTGAGAGCCTTCTGGTCGCTTTAGCAGGCATTCATCTCCTCTTCCCATAGACTGGTAAAAAAAAAAATCAGAGGGTGGTAGAGCTAGAAGGAAACATGTTTTAGCTTTCTTTAGCATCAGATACCTTTCGGAAGATGAAATCTTACATGTAATCCCGATGCGTAAACAGACCAAAGCAGAACCATTCTGAGAGAACCACAGCCCAGAACCCACTTACTTCCCCACTTGCCCCAAGCAAGGACTTTAGAGAGTCCTTCCAGATCTCAGGATCTTTCTCTCATAGGTTCAGTGCAACCTCCTCTCTTTCAGGTAAGGACATTGAGATTTTTGAGTGGTGAAATAGATCTTTGGTGGCATAATTAGGTTAAGTCTCCTAAATCCTTATGCAGTTTTCCTTCCTTCACAGGGTGTTGTCTCTCCCTCTGCCAGTCTGACATCTCCCTAAAATTCACTCTCCATTCCGACAGAGAAAGGTATGCAGGGAATCAAATTACCCACAGCAGCCTTGGTACAAGGTTAAGTGAGGGAAGAGGCTGCAACTCCTGACTGCCCTGAATTATGTGGTTTATCTACAGGGATCTCATTTATCTCTCTGCTCCAGTTTCAGCTCTCTCTGGTAATTCTGAGTGGCCTGTAAAATCGTTATCTGGCCAATGCAGGGAGATAAAAAGGCTTGTTAGTTTTAAAGGGAACGTGTCAGTGACTGAAGTTTTATCAGCAGGATGAGCATGGAAAAACGTTTTTCCTTATACCGATCTGAGGAAAAAGTAATGAGACCTAAGGCATTATAATTGAAAATGAGAACTGTTAAGTATCTTTTTTGCATATTTTATGTGACTGTCAAGGGAGGCTACTATGAGGCATATTTGGCCCTAAAATACTTTTGGCATCTCCTATACTCCCTAGTTGTCCCAAAGCTTTTTCCTGGCTGCCTGTAACTCTTTGGGAATGTTTGTCACAATAGAAGGAACCACAACTTCTAAAGAGGCTAAGATAAATTTCTGACGTGAGGATACTTAACTTTGAATTCTTATATTTGAGAAAAAATTGTTCAAAGACTTGAAAGATTCTTCCTAAATAATGGCATTTAGGAGATTTAACCTCTTTTCTCATACATGCTATACTCCTGTACAGTGTGCCTTTGCTGAGGTTGCATTCATTGTTAATATTTCGCTGTATAATCACAGGTCTAGGTGGGATCGTAGAAAGCTAGTCCATTGCCTTGTTACTATGCAGACACATATTTCAATCACAGAAGACTGTGTTCATCTTTTTTTTAAGGAGACATTGAACAAGGTTTTCCTTGTATTAATGCCAGATGATTCTGCAGGCTGCTGTTTAGCTCACAACTTCTTGTTCAGGTCTCAAGAAGAGAGTCGTTATTACCGCCAAATCATCTTCCAGCACCCTGCAACAATACTCATTTCTGGTATCATTGCAAATTTTCTTCATCCATCCATGCGAGGGGACCATGCTGTAACTACAGCCCTCTGTAATTCACGGTGTAAGTCAGCAGCAACATTGGCAGGATAGAAATCTTTTCCCCGAGTGGCTATTAGTAAAACTCATGAGTATCCCTTCATTCTTGGCACGTAGTTGAGTTTAGGAATCTAACTCAGATTCATTCACATAGCAGTACTAAAAAATAAAATTGGAAGTTCAATAAACGAATAACTCTGTTAAGATATTCATTCTTTAATATCTGAAAATTCATATTTAACAGAAGAAGACTGCACTTACCTGGCTGTTTACATTTTCTCCCTGCATCTCCCTCCTTTTTCCTTTGATTTATGTCAGTAGCCAAAGCAATTGTGGATTGAAATACATGTGTATTGACCTCCAGATTCCAGGCTTTGCCCCGCCTCCCTCTCTCCACTGCCTTTGGCTACTCCTTGTCCTACTCCATCTTCTAGGCTCGCAGTCACTTAGCCCTGTGTATTGAAAAGAAGCTCACCCAGGCTGTGCATAGTGTCCCGGTGGCTGTGGCTAAAGGTATATGATCATGGTAATGGTACGTGCCTTAGATTTACATAGACTTCCCAGCATTTTCCCTTTTATCATCTCCATAGAGGACAAGGTTTAAATCCACAAACAGCAACTCCCTTCACCAAGAGGCTAGGTGAGCACTTTAAAGAGTGCTTGAACACAGTATTTTCCAATATTCCCAGGGGAAGAGTATTACCTGGGCACTTGTTAAACATTCAGATTCCTGGATCCCAAATAGACCCACTATAAATATGAATGCTTAGAGTAAGGTCCTGGGATCTATATTTATATCAACAGCCCTGGAGAATTCATATCACAACACAAGGTTAGAAAGCATTCTGCTAGAAAGACGCTTATTGCTCTCACAGGCTCAGTGCCAGCAGCTCTGGAAGGACTCAGTGACCAAAGTGCTGGGCATTTATATGGTGCCAGATTTGTAGCATCAGATGTATATCAATAGCAGGATGTAAGGGGAGGCTGGGTGCTAGAGATTCTACTCAGACTACTTTCCTGATCCTAGAGAGGTGCTGCAGGTGGCAGTGAATCCTAATGGACTGTAGAGCTAAGTGGAAGGAACAGGGGGTCTTCTAATAACAGCACCTGCGCCCTTTTAATTGGCTTGGCCCAGACCTGGTGTAGTCTGACCCAGGTTTGCAGCTTGGATGTGTTCTTTTTCCCAGGGCCGTTGCCTGGTCCGTTAGTGTAACAGTGTACAGAGTATCTGGTTCCCAGAGAGTCTTCCCTGCCCTAAACCAGAGTCTTGGAGAACAGAAGGTGGGGATGGACCAGCCTGGAGTAAAGGGGCAGGTAGGAGGTGAAATTATGGAAACTGCAACTAGGAAGCTTGTACATTTCTGGGGCTATGTAACTCAGCCAGGTGCTAGGATTCAACATAGTACTTTCATTTATACTAATTAATCTTACTGAGGGATAAGAGTTCTTTTTCTATACCTCAAACTTTAGTTTCCCTTAGTGGTAGTAAGTGTAGAGCTAAATTCAACATAAGATCTTAGATTTTTGGCCAGGCATAGTGGCTCACGACTGTAATTTCAGCACTTTGGGAGGCCCAGGAGGGAGGAACACTTGGGGTCAGGAGTTCAATGAGACCAGCCTGGCCAACACAGTAAAATCCCATTTCTATTTTATTTTAAAAGAAACAAAACAAAAACAAAAACAAAACTTAGATTTTCAATGATCTTGCACCTTTTTTACTTTTAGAGGATAAATGATCATTGAATTAAAACAAAAGTTAGTTTTCAGTTATAAATCATTACTGTGTATTTTATGCCTAATAATTATGTCACTCTGGAATTGATGAATTTGAAGAAACATGGAAAATTATATTGGCTATGGCTGTGAATCTAGTGATGTGAAGATGTTGGATTTATATATGTTAATTTGATTCATATTCAAGTCAAAACACGCATATTTTTAATCAGCAAATGGTTTAATATGCTTTCCATACTTGTAAAAAATGAAAAGTACTGAGAGCTATTTTTTGCCTTGTCATTCATTCTGTCAACAGTACTTATTATGAATGTGGTGCATTTGGGTACAAGGCAGAGTTACAAAAGCAATAGAAAATATGTCCCTTTGGTAGCAGAAAGCAGAATAAACTTAAACACAATTTTTTTCTCACTTTATGCTTTGAGGAGTGTTTCTGTAAAATCATGTGTGTCATTTGAACTTTTAAGACTCAAGATCTCATAAATATTAAATTCGGAGCTGATTTATAACCATTGTGTTGGACCTTCCATTGCCATTTTTATTAGTCATTCATTCATTCACTTTTTATAAAATAATATTATTCACTTAGCATGTGTGAAATACTTGCAAGGCAGCATGCTACAAAGAAAACTTGATCCTTGACCTCAAAGGGTTTACTGATTACTAGAAAAGGTAGCTGACTATTAAAATGAAAACTTGGGTGGTCAGCTTGGAGGGCAGCTGTGTTCTCTCACCGCCACAGCCCAGCTCACCTCAGCTGTGTTGGATTCTCATGTGAGGCTTGAGAGGGGCTAGCGCCTCCTGTAAGAGAACAGAAGTGAAGGTGGGCTGACTTCTGCCCAAGATGGTGTTCTGGACAGTCTCCCAGCTTCCTGAGCTGCTTCTCTAGAGCTTCGTTGTACCTGCTTCCAATTAGCCCAGAAACTGGTTTCAAGCTAATCCCATAACCTCCATGACTCTCTCAATAAGATATTAGTAAAATTATTACATAACTTTTTCAGAGTTAATTTACAGGTTAAATCTGATTTCTGCTCTCAACAGCTTTTGTTGGGCTGTTAACAATCCGTTAGTGAACAATTCAGTTTACTAGGGAAGCAGCTCTCTGTTTAAAGGGATGCTTGGATAAATCCCTCAGCAAAGTAGATCCTTTTATAAGTGGTAATATCTTAATTAATTTTTACAATTATATTAGATTTTCTTTTGATTTTCTTTTAGATTGGAGGGTTCATGATTCTACTTACGTCAGATTCATGAAGCAGCTGTGGTTGCACTTACCTGGCAGCAGTCATGAATCTGACTGCTCTAGGTATCTCATATAAGTGGAATCATACAATATTTGTTCCTTTGTGTCTGGCCTATTTCACTTAGCATAGTGTTTTTGAGATCCATCCATGTTGTAGCAATATCAGAATCCTGTTCCTTTTTAAGGATGAATAAAGTTCCATTGCATTTGTATATCACATTTTGTTTATCCATGCAAACAAAATGTGAAATATGTTGATGGCCAGTTGGGTTCTTTCCACCTTTTGGCTATTGTGTTGCTATGAGCATTGGTATACAAACAGGCATCTGTTTGGGCCCCTGCTTTTAATTCTTTGGGATATAGGCCTAGGAGTAGAATTGCAGGATCATATGATAACTCTATGGTTAATACTATAAAAAACCACCAAACTGTTTTCCACAGCAGGTGCACCATTGTGTTTAAGTTTAAATTTTTTTTTTTGAGACAGAGTTTCTCTCTTGTTGCCCAGGCTATAGTGCAATGGAACCATCTCAGCTCACCACAACCTCCGCCTCCCGGGTTCAAGCCATTCTCCTGCCTCAGCCTCCTGAGTAGCTGGGATTACAGTCATGCGCCACCGCATCCAGCCAATCTTGTATTTTTAGTAGAAATGGGGTTTCTTCATGTTGGTCAGGCTGGTCTCAAACTGCTGACCTCAGGTGATCTGCCAAACTTATTCTCTCATTCAAATAAATGATTCAGATAGAAGGTATTAAGTCTTGGTTAATTTAACTAATTTTTTTATTCCTATTAACTGCACTTAGTAAATGCTACTAGTACAGAAAAAAAAATGAAAAAATAAAAAGGAATTGGAAGAGGTGTTTTTTCACAATCCCATTCTGAATATTTATCATATACACATCACACTTTGTTGGAACTGTAGCACTGAATCCGTTCTAACCCATGTTCTTCTGTTTGTCTATTTTTTCCAGGTACAATCTTAGGGCAGGAACCATGGAAACAGGTACATTAACAGGAGATGTGTTCAGATTTTGTTGTTGAATCAATTGATTCTTTATAATAAACCTAAATGAGTATCTGATTAATCTGCTAATATCTATTCGTGTTTCTGGACATTAAATTCAATGTTCCAGCAATTATAGTTCCAACAGAAAGGCATATATCACAGAAGCAAAGCCTTTAGAAGGTAAAAAACCAAATGGTGACAGGAGAAATTATTGGATATGATTAGCATGTCCAGTGTTAAATGGGGCAGATTTTATAAGGAGTTGAATTATGCTTAACTCTGCAAAATACTTAGATTTTGGTGACAGATGGAAGGGTGGAGTTTGTGACTAGAAAATGGCATTCTGAAATTGTTTGGAGGTAGGAATGTAAGGGAACTTGCAAGCATTTTTGAAACAGGCCGGGTGCAGTGGCTCACATCTGTAATCCCAGCACTCTGGAAGGCTGAGGCGGGTGGATCACCTGAGGTCAGGGGTTCAAGACCTGCCTGGTCAACATGGTGAAACCCCTTCTCTACTAAAAATACAAAATTAGCTGGGTATGGTGGCCTAGGCCTGTAGTCCCAGCTACTTGGGAGGCTGAGATAGGAGAATCACTTGAACCCAGAAGGTAGAGGTTGCAGCGCCTGTGACCAGGTCGCAAGTAGACTACATCAGGCTGCTGCTGAAGTCACAAGAGTATACCCATGCATTAACAGCTATGGACAAGGCCACAGGCCTGTTGTTTGCCTACCCTGGCAGGGTGGCCGACCAATAGCACACCATCAGGGCCCTGAAACACTTATGCTCCCTGTATGGTTGCCCTTTGTCCATTGAGAGTGACAGAGGAACACATTTCACTGGACAACAGGTACAACAATGAGCAACACAAATGAATGTAAAGTGGGGATTCCATGTGCCACACAGCCCACAAGCTGCAGGTATGATTGAGCAATGTAACAGGCTGTTGAAGAATGGGTTATGCTTGCATGTCACACCCCCATCTTTGTGGGGCTAGAGTTCCAGGCTGGACCTGGTGCTTCAAACCTTGAATGGACAGCTATGGAAAGGTGGTCCAGCCTCAGTGGAGGCTTTGTTACACTAGGCTGGCACACCCATTCAGTTGTGGATACATACCAAGAATGGCCTCCTCCGATCAGGTATGGAGATGAAAGGTAACCTGTTGTTGGCAGCCCCAACACCCCTGAAAACAGGGGAATAGAAAACCTGGCTGTGGCCATGGACCCTCCAGGTCCCTCACTGTGGGTGGTTGGCCATCGTGGCTCCCTGCGGGGAGGGCCTACAATATGACTCACATGTCACTCCTTGGGTGTTCAATACATGGCCCCCACGGTTGAATGTTCATAGGGGAACAGCCAGGGAAGAAACCCTCCTCCAGGGGACATATGTACTGTCTATGGGGCCTATCAGGAGCTCTCCCATGACTTTGGCATGGATACAGGACTCAAAGGAACCACAGGGAGCTGAGAAAGGATGGTACCATCGCCCAGAGCAAAGGCCCTTGGTGGCTGCATTATTATCCAGGGATGAAAGGTTAGCCTATGTTTTGTGGAGGAATGTGATTTACCTCTCTTAGTACCTGTGCCTGCTCTATTATTTCAACCATAGGTTAACATGCTCCAACTACATTGTGGACTGGGCCCACACCTATGCTGAGGTGACCGATGTTTCAATCTGCTGGATCTGCACTGCCCTTCCAGCAGCAGCTGCAGATGGCATGCCTTGGCACACACATTCAGCATCTGCAGAGAATTGGACATGGCTGGAGACCTGGGGTCCCTTGGCTGATGCCTGTAATGCAACACATCAAGCATTGGACAAAGGACACCGTAAGACGCACAGCACATCTGCTGCCTGGAAGGCCTTTTGTGTTTATGATGAATGGGGCTGGATAGTGGGGGAATGTGTAGTACCCAAAGCTCAGGTACTGTGGTGCATAGACCAACACTGGAGCAACACTCCCATGAAATGGGTACCTGTCATGGCCTGTGCAAACAACACGTCACCACACTTAGGGTATGGTGGTATGGTGAAACAAGCGGTGCCAAGGTTGGGCCCCAATAGATTTTGTGCCCCCCTGGGATTTGATGGGTCTTTGGAGACAAGGGTGGCCTTAACTACCAGCAAACTGGACTGGATGTTGTACCTGGGGGTGGCCTTATGTACCTGCCACTGTTCTCCCTATGTTGCCCAGATGGCCCGCATAACTGGGAGGTGCTATGCTCTCGGTTTGTGCAAGTGTGATGAGCCCCCTGGTGGTTTTACCTCTTGGAAATGACTATCCCTGGAGCAGATGTCATAACTGCAGAAGCACAAGTTACTGCTCTTATGAAGCACACCACCTGGGCTCTGAATTACACTCTAGTGGTCCTCCTTCTGTTAATAGATGAGGTTGATCAGATCAGAAATGTGGTATTACAAAACTGAATGGCCTCAGACATAGGAAATGCTGCCCAAGGAGGCACCTGTGCTCTTTTGCAGGCGATCGGTCAGGGTGATAGGAAAAATTACAGGAGAGACGCAAACCTTCTTAGAAGGCCAGGAGGTTTTGCAAAGCTTTGGGGAAGAATGAGCTGAAGGCAGCTGTTCTTACCCTGAGGCAAATGGCAAAGTGCAGATCACAAGGGAGTACAAGGAATTTATCTAGATGTTTGTTTACCTATTTCTCTGGAAACCAACCTTTGATCATTTGCACACAGGACTGCTCCCTACTTGGGGCAAAGTTAATTACCCATAAGTTGTGTTTGCTCCAAGTTTTTGTCATTAAATCTGTACTAAATAAACATGAATGTCTCTGGCTTATCAGGGCCGCACTTTCTCATTGGCAGGCTAAACTGTGGGGTCCCCTAGCTGCACTCACAGGCAAAAATAACTGTGTCTGCATACTCCTTTCATCCATTGCTTGGCCAGAGTTTGCAGGACAGATTTGGCACCCTTTTAGGTACACAATATTGTACCTTTATCCCTGACAATTGGTAGAACATAAAAGCAGTCCGGCAAGGGGTCTTATGGCAGATTAAGGTGGTCGAGAGCCTTACTGATGCTTCCCTGCAGAAATGGTGGGCATCCCTAGGCTCTGGCCTATGCTGGGCCCTGATAGTCATAAGTAGCATAGCTGGAATCCTAATGGTAAGGCATTGCTGTCTGTATTGTTGTCGGTTATGGATTCAGGGATCTTCCCTATGGACACATGTCCCTGCTGGAGGATGCCCTAGGCCTGGGGGGTGGAGTGTAAGGGAAATGGCTGTGCTTTAGTCAGGAGTAGGCTTAGGCAGCCTTCCAGTGCAGCATGATTCAGCAGGTTTGGAGTGCAGGTGCACAACTCCACGTATTCTGTAACCACACCACATGAGGCACATTAGGCGATCACCCATGTGAGCTCCTGCTGGGCTCGGAGCCACTGCTATCTGCAAAATATATAATTACCCTGCTGATGCTGTACATATGGCTCACTCATGCCCAAAGAGAAAACAAAGCCATGTTGAAACTGTCGATGATTCCTTGAGTGTTTTTCCAGCTACCCACCACTCGCCAGCTGATTCCCCTTAGACTTCAGTTAGAACCTGACATCTCGCTTGTGGAACCAGAGGAAGGGCAGAAAAATCAGGAGGCTCACAGAGGTCTCAAGGGAAGCTTCAGGCTTGTCCAGGGGCTGCAAGAAACAAATTTCAGGTGGCTTTTAGTCTCTTTCTCTGTTCCGCTCAGTATCAGGAAGTAAGCTTCTAATTGGCTGAACTTGTGTTATGTGCCTGGCCCCTGGCAAGGTAACATCAGGGCCTAGTGCCTTGATCCACACAGGCATAGCTATGTCCAAAGCAGGTGGAAGTTTGTGCTATTACCAGAAGAAGGTGGAATGGCAGAGTTAAAAAAAATCAATTACTGCTCTGTCATATTGTGTGAAAGACAGAATTCATTTTATTGTACAAACAATTTTAATTTCTAAAAGTGAAACAACTGCTCTGCATATGCTTGTTCAATCATAATTATAAGACAGATATGCCCTCTTTTATGTTCTTCTGGGGATCTGAAAACTGGTCTTCTTTAGTAGGTATGTGTGGGCGCAGGCAAGAGGGCCACAGTGGGTGGTAAATCCCGAGGAATCAGTTAATTGTTTCGTTAGAGAAATAGACCATTTAATTGCTCACTTTTCAACTAAAGAACAGAAGGTAAAATATTTAATTCATTAACTATAACAAAAATATAGTTTAATTTTATATAATAGCTAACTAAAAGGTATTTTAAGTTGACCTCATTTCATAAAGGATTTGAGGTGAGGTGACCTTTTGTTTTAATCAAGGTTCTTTGATTTGCCAATTTGAGATACTCACTTCAAAGTAGCTAAAGCCCACATGGGATGTGATGAATGATTCTATTTAAAAATCTCATAGACCTCAAAGACAGAGTACTCTTAAAATCTAGAAGCATGCCTTTAGCAGGGATGGGGGCCTTTCAGAGCACAAAATGTACAACCATTCACAGCGCCCAGGCTGTCAGAGACTGCCATGGTTTTTCTCTGTTTAGGCTTCCTTCCTCTTTCTGCAGAGGGTGAGGGAGAGTCTTGGCTTCCTCCGGGAAATGCAGGCCCACCCCAGCTCTCGGGTAAATATTGCCTGCATTTCAGCCAGGTACAGGGTTCCTTTTGTTACTGAGAGAGTCAGACTCTCAAGTTGGCTCAGCCTAAATCTGCCGGGACCCCATCAACTGTGAAGTACAAACGTGGCTGGAGGTGGGGAGCACCTTGTGGTTGAGAAGGTCTGAGAGAAAGGGGTGGGTATGATCTGTCAGACACCCTAAAAGTTTTCCCTGTATTGTTTGAGACAGAAACAGCTGGGGAAGAGGGGTGGGGGTGGGGGTGGTGTGGGGAATAGAAAAAAACGTGACACTGAGAGAAATGCAGAAACGGTGGTGGTGATTCAAGAAGAGAAAATCAATAAAGGCTTGAGGGAGAGCCTCAAAAGGTGTTTAAGTCAGGATACTTTCTGCTGTTTGAAACGGGAAACCTCTGTCAAAGTGTCTTAGCCAAGAAATTTGTCTCAACCAATAGGAAGTTGTGAGGTAAAGCGACCTTCAAGGCTGGCTAAGTCAGCCATACAACAAAGGCTGGAAGGCTCCGCTTCTTTTCTTCCTTCTACTCTGCCATCCTTGGTGTGGTCTTTGTCATCAGGCTGCAGAGGATCCAAGCATCACATCCAAACCCAAGGCCAAGAGTGAAAGGGAGCATCTCTTAGATGCAAGGAAACCTCTAGCAGATTCTTCTCATGGCTCGTTCACCAGAATTGGGTCACCTGCTTATTCCTGAGCCGCGCCTGAGCGAGAGGAATGGGACTGCCAGGTGTGATGCAGAGGGCCGGTCTTCCCAGAGCATGTGGCTACTTTAACAGGGGGACACTGAACACAGCTGGGGTTCTGAGAGGAAGGTGGCAGGAGGGGTGGGGAGGCAACCGGCAGGTCAGCAACAGAGAAGAAAAACAGTATTAGAGCAGAAAGGCAGGCAATGACAGAGCCGAGAGGAGGGAGGCAGGAAGGTGGGCGCGAACAGTTAAGTTCAGGTGGAGACAGACAAGCTCGTTTAGTGTCTTAGCTTAAAACACTGCTGTCATATCTTGCTCTTCAGCCAGGCAACTATTAGAAGAACATGCTTTACCCGTTTTCACTGCCACTTGAAGGGCTGATTAACTTTTCCATAGTTAAGCTTATTAGCCATTTTTCAACTTCAGAGTTTTAAGGGAGGTGGCCTTAGTAGTATTCCGACAGAAAATTCCTCTCCTTTTCTCCTTAAAATAGATCAGCATTTATTGAGTTGTGAAGGAGTCGTGTGAAATAAATATGATTACTTAGTTGCTTTCTTACATCTTTATTTATAATTTTATCTTCTTAATTGTAAAAGCAATATAACCATACTTAAAAATTGCAAACCAGAAACAAGAACACAAAATCACCCACAATCTCATAACTGTTATTATTTGGTAAATATTAACTCTTAATCTTTTTCATAAAATTGCATACCATTTTGTAGTTTGCTTTATTTTTCAAAACAGGTATGTCATATACATGGTACAGATTTCAAAAACAAACTAAAGGAGTTATTTAAAAATAAAGCAGGTCTCCTTCCCATCAATATCTTTAGTCCCCCAGTTTGCACCCCCATTCCACTTTAATCTGCTGTTATCAGTTTATTTTGTTTTCTTTCATAGATAGCCTACCTATTAGCAAGGAAATATGTGTATGTATCTTCTTTTGCCAACACACTATCTTTTTACAAAATGACAGCCTACTGTGTACACTGTTTTTGTCTCTTGCTTTTAAAATTTAACAATATTACTTGGAAATAATTCTACATATAGTGCCTATAAAATTTAACATTACAATGTATTCACACATTGCCATGTACTCTATAAGTAGTATCTTCAAGAGCTGTAAAAAGTTTGAGCAAATGACTCATTCATTCCTTTAAAAAATACCTGTCAAGCACCTGCAATATCTGCAGAGTTCTGGTGATTCTAAGATTACTGAGAATTAGGCCACACCCTAGAAGGAGTCACAGCAGATTGGGAGACAGGTAGGTAAACAAGTTCTTACAGGCAGCCTGTAAGTGCCAGGATGGAAAAACACGGGGTGTTGAGGGAACAAAGGAGGAGCCTCCGAGACATTGAACAAAAGTAGTGAAGAATAAGAGGAATCAGCTCACAGACAAGGGACAATACCCCAGGTAGAAACTCACAATGACATGTGCAGAGGCACAGAATGTGAAGGGACATTGTGGTCCAAGTAACTACAAGGAATTGGATATCACCCCTACTCTTTGATCTTTAATTTCTGGGAAAGTCTTCAATATAAATAATGCTATGATAAACATCTTGCAGTATATAACTTTTTCCATCTGCTAGGGTATTTCTTTGGGTAGATTCCCAGAAGATGGATGGCTGAGTCAAAACGTAGGAGCACTCTGACCTGCTACGTACAGCCAAAATGCTTTCCAGATGGACATGTTGTTTCATAAGGACAGCAACAACTATGTGCCAACCAGTGCTCATTGTTTTTGTATCTTTATTAGATTTAATGTATACTTCTTTGATTACTAGAATATTAATTTCCCCCATATTATTTTGATTTCTTCTATGATTTGTTTTCTGTTTGTACTCCATCACTTCGATTCTACATTTTACTTTAGCTCTATGAGCCTTACTTATAATACAGATATTCAGATTTTTATTTTTCATGCTTGCTGCCAATTTTTTTTCTGGTCTAGCTTACACTAAAAAAACCCGACATGTGTAAGTGTTTAAGATATTACCCAATCGTATCTATTGATTATTTCCTTCTATGGCCTCTAAGTTGAGAAATACTTCTATTCAGAGCTTTGACAAATATTTTTTCTTCTGCTCTGCTTTCAAATGTATTTAACTCTTTAATCCTCCTAGAGCTTATTTTGGATATATGAAATGAGATGAGGATTCAGTTAGTTCCCCCTCCCTCCAAATTACCAATTAGTTATCTTACCTTTCCCTTCTCCATTGATTTTTCTTTTTAAGACTTTATTTTCTTAGCAGTTCTGGTTTCATAGCAAAATGGAAAGAAAGACTGCTTACTGTATGGTTCCTTATATATGGCATTCTGGAAAAGGCAAAACTATGGAGAGAGGGAGACAGTAAAACATCAGTGGTTGCCAGGGACTGGGGGGAGGAAGGGATTGAATAGGTGGTGTAGAGAGGACTTTTAGGTCAGTGAAAATACTCTGTATGATACTATAAGGGTAGATATATGTTATTCTATATTTGTCCAACTGTATAGAATATACAACCCCAAGAGTGAACCCTAATGTAAACCATGGACTTTGGTGATAATATGTCAATGTAGGTTCACTATTTGTAGCAAAAGTGCTATTCTGGTTGAGGAGGTTGATAATGGGGGAGGCTACGCATATGTTGGGTATATGGGATATCTCCAATGACTTTTTATTTCAAAGATAAATCCACTTAGAGATCAACTCAGTCATCAGTTGCATCTAATTTCTGGTCCTTTTTGAAATGTGTCACATCAGCTTAAGACAGACCTTTCTTCTGATTTATCCAGTATTCCTGCAGCGACTTCTATTTATATATAGAATTACAACATAACTCCAATAGGCTTAGGTAAAGCTTGTCAGTGCCTTCCTGTTAACAAGGAAATCTGCTGCTGAAAGATCTTACTTTAGAAGTCTACCAGATTGGTGGTAGTATGGCCTGTGTTTTGAGTGGGTGGAGAGCGCTTTTGAGGAAGAGAGGATTATTTCATTCAAAGGGCTGAAGCCACTGTTACCTCGTGTCATAGCTTCTGAGGTACTGAATGGGTAGGATCTCCTGGCCCTCCCATCTCTGTGGGTACCTGGTTCATACCTCAATATAGGTGTAGATCTCAATATAGCCTCATGCTGCTGAAGCACAGGACTATTTCAAAGTGTGGTTTATTGCATGAAAAAGTAGCTTCTTGCCTAGCCAAAACTTGACTGCCGGTTGTCAACTAGGTAGCCAGTTTTTGAGACAAGTGAGAGGTTGTTACCTGGGGAAACCCTATAACTACAGGCTCTCAAACTCAAGTATTCAAGTATCATCTGGGGAGCTTTTCAGATTTCTGTGTCCAGGACCGGGTTGCACAGGGTGGTGCTGGAAAAGTTTTTTGATCTCACCTCCTTCTAGCATTTGAAATCCCTAAAAATATTTCCATAGACATTTAAGCACAGTCCTGGGCGGTTCTTCCTTCTCTTTCCATGAAATACTGGTACCCGCTTTGCCAGCACCTATGAAAGTGCTCCAGGAGAAGGGCGGGTAAGCAACACCTGCTCAAGTAGGGTTCTAAAGCAACATCCAGCCTTGCTTTCTATTCTTCCCCAGAGTTCAAAAGCATAATGGTTCGTGATCCAAAAACCCAAATCCGATTCCCCAGAAGACCTCCCTGGAATCCGTTCTGGGTTCCTTCCTAGAGTTAGGAGGCAGGCAGGTTTCTTAGGCACTATTCTGCGGGGGAGGGTGGAGCGTGCGCTGTCTGGGTTTGTGTGGTTGCCACAGACCCTCGGGCGAGGATCGTATCCCGGGCCAGGACTCCTTTGGGCCGTCTCTTTTTCCTCGTTCCCATTTCTAGGATGAAACTCATTTCTCCGGCAGGTGGGGAGATTGGGTTAGAGTCACACGGGGATTCAGGCAGGAAGCTTTCCTTTGCATCGTCCCATCCCTTCATCCATTCCTCCCATTTTCTGTGGCTCTTCTCCCTCTTCCCCAACTACACTCTTTTCCATTCGGCGAAGTCCACGACCACTTTCCTCCCCTGTCCAGTGGCACCGCATCTACTCTAGCCACAGAAGCCAGTTGTGGAGGAGGGGGCGCGAGTGCGGCTACCCCAGAGGGGGTGTTGGGGTTGGCTCGCAGGTCCTCACTCACCCAGCCCTCTCGACTGCGTCCCTCCAGAGCAGCCGCCGCTCATCAATCCGGATCACTCTGCCAGGCTGCTCCTCGGGCGCTCTTCCTTCTCCCTCTCGCCTGCGGTCCTCCACTCTCCCACTCCCTACCTACCCCGCGGCGGCGCTCGGGGTCGGCTGCGCTCGGGGTTGGCCCGAGAAGGGGCGGGGATAAAGCGAGCGGTGGAAGGAGGCGGCTACGTGGTGCCACCGCGGCCCGGGAGCGCCCGACCCCGTGCGCGCGCGCGCCTTGCCAAGGCTTGGGAGGCGGGCGGAGCTGCGGGCGGCGTGGGCGGAGGAGCAGCCGGCCTGGCGGGCGGAGCAAGCGGCGGGCGGAGCAAGGGGTGGGAGGGCGCGCGCGAGCGGGCGGGCGGGCGAGTCAGCGAGCGGCGTCTCCGCCAGCATCTGCCGCGGCCGCCTTTGCCCGAAGCCCGGGGACGAACCGACGGACAGACCTCCTGGCACACGGACGCGGGCGCTCGCTTTGTGTTAGGGGCCAGCTTCGTCGAGGCGCGGGCTTGCAGCGCAAGGCTTCCCCGCTTCCTCGCGGCCACCCCGGCTCCGGCGGCCTCGGCGCAGGAGAGGCTGGAGGTGCGGGAGCCGCTCTCCGCCGGTCGGTCCCCGCGCGGCTGAGCCCAGGCCGCCCGCGCCGCGGCCCCGTGCGGCGTCCCTGAGCTCCTGCTCCCCGCCGGGCTGCTCCGAGCGACGGTGCTTCGGGGCTCTAAACTCGGGCTGCCGTGGCAAGTGTCTTCATGAACCCAGAGGATGTCCGGGAAGCACTACAAGGGTCCTGAAGTCAGTTGTTGCATCAAATACTTCATATTTGGCTTCAATGTCATATTTTGGGTAAGTTGGAGCGCTCCTTGGATTCCAACTATTGTGGCCGATCGATTTCGCGACGATTTCCCCCACGTTGCTCGTTGCCTTTACTTTTCGCAGCCCCGCAGGCGCTTGCCGGAGCAGCGCAGAGGCATTCGCCTTCCGCCTTTCCAGCTGGCGCGTTGGAGAGATAAACATTTAATCCTTTCGAGGAATGGGAAGAGGTGAAAAGAGAAACCGAGGTAGAAAGGGGGCACCGAGGCCTTCGGGTGGCTTTTTAAGGAACGAATAGCAGGGATGCAGATAAAAGAAAGGACTCGGCAGTTTGAGAAATGAGCAGCCGCACGAATTGGATTTGCTCCCGGTGGGATATGGATGTTGGGCAGAGCGTGGTGTCATAATAGGGAAGGCTAATCGGGCACAGCCGACCCTAAGGTCCACCTTCTAACCACGATCTGATTGGACGAGGGCTTGGCTCCGTGTTGCCGCGGCTGGTCTGTGCCATGCTCAGCGTGTATCTTCTTGCACCATCTCGGGCTTTGTGTAGGATGCAGATGCTGTGGTATATGGTTCTGTAATGTGCACGTAAATAACGTTTCCTGCACGCTCTTCCTCTTCAGCTGGAAAGCGCTCCTTGTGCATAATGGACTGGCCAGCGGGCGCGCGGGGTAGAGGGATTTATTTATATGTATATGTCATTGTCAGGATAATAACAAGTCACCGTCCACATATGTATGTTTCAATGTGTTCGTGCCCCGTGCCCCACGTCCTCCTTTTTAAAGGAGTGACACAGAGCGGGCCGTTTTGGGGAAACCTTTGGAGAAATGCAAAGAAGAAGGTGTGCGAGGCATGTTTTATTGGGGAACCGAGAGAGCAAATGCTTGAACACAAGATTCAAATTATGCTCTGCTTGGGACTGCAATGTGTTGGGCACCTACTGTAATTAGGCTGGGACGCCTACTCTTGTTTGTTTGTTTGTTTTGCTTCTTTTCCTTGATCTGGCAAACGTGTTCAGCCAGACAAAGAGTTCTCCAGGACCAGGGGAAAACGTTGGTTCGAAGACCATGTTATTTTTCTTCTCCTTCTTATCCCATCTCATCCTCTTCCTCACTGGGCACCCCCTATTCCATGGAAAGTAAAGATGGTGGCTGTCTGGGTGAGGGGTTCTCTAAGTTGCTGTTCAGTATGAGGTAAACAATGATCCAACTGCGGGATCAATAATTATCCACAGCAGTCTGAACACGGAATGTATTTATTTGCATTCTCCTTTAATTTTGGCCGTTTGCTGTACATATATATCTGTGAGAATGGTTGTCAATACAGCTCTTCATGGGTGTTTTTTTTTTTTTTTTTTTTTTTTTTGTACCACGCTCTTGCCAGATTATTTTATTTTCTGTTTTCCATAAGAGTACCTTGCATTGGTCATGTATGTTTTGTGAGGGGAAATGCAAGGGACTGGAGACCACTTTCCGTGTCAGCATGTCATCTGTCTTTAGGACTAATAAAAATAATGAGGGGACACATGAATGGGTGTCATATCCTATCATTCCACAGGCAGTTTTTTTTAAACCAGTGTTGTGCATGATTCCCGGGAGCAGCCCCCCACCTCCCTGCAATCAAACACTGCTACAAATACAGGAAGAAGAAATTATTTTCTTTCTTTGCCCCTTCTCCATTTGTGAAAATGTTTAAAAGTGGTGGGTAGTCACGTTTTTGAGTAAGATATTCTGATTTAATTGCAACTTGAAACTTTGTGACTTGGAGAGGCAGGGACTACGGAACTGGGACTGGTTCTTTTTGGGGTAGTGAGTTCAGGCCTCTTGTTTCTACTTGAACATTTCTAAAAGTTGCACATTTTAGCTACCTAGCGACAAAAATCACCCGGGGACTTTCTCTGCCGTTTCCTAGCAGGGGATGGTAAGGAAATAAAAGGATTTCGGCCTGCTTCCCTGACAGTTTGCTGTAATTTTGTAGAGTGCACAGGGACAAATTTAGCCTGTTCTGTGGATTAGGTTGCAGCAAAACCCCTGGAATTGTAGAGAGCTTCAAAGAATTGCAGCGTGCGTGCATGGAGAGTTCCAGAATAGAGCGGCATCTTTTCTGATTTTGAAGGTCTTCATAGGTGGGTGGGTGAGTATGGGAAGCCTGAGAGAAGACCTAGGCTGTGGGACTAAACCAGCTGCCCCAGGCAGAGTTGTTAAGTGAGTGCCTTGGTATGAGGGCCCTTCACTTGCCCTGCCTCCTCTCTTCCCTTCCTCTCCTTTGTATGCCCAACGCCTTCCTCTCGGATACCCCCTCATACCTTTCCTATCCTGCTCTCTGCTCCAAAATTACCCCGTATTTAAATATCCTGCTTTATAGTAGAATGGTCTCTAGTGGTGATCAACAGGAAGGCAACCATATGGTTTTGATTAAAGCAGTTCAGACTAAGATGTTAGTGACTGAAAAGCAGGGGTCAGTAGTCTGGCAGCTTGCTTCTGAAAAGTTTGCACACCTCTGCCCTCTACAGAGTCACCAACCTGTCTGTGATTGCCAAAAACAACCAACTCAGTGCTACTCCCATAGAATTATGAAGAAAAGATTGCCAGCAGCATGGTTTCCCAATTGTTCATTTTTACCCTGAACTGCTAGATTAAATTTGACATACACTGGTGACATTTACAAATATAGTTCTGGTAAAATAAAATTGAACATATGGTGGCACCAGTACTGAAAATTTGGATTTTTTTTCCTAATCGGGAGTTTAGCTCTTTGTTAGTTAACTGCCTGGGCCTCAGTTGCTCAGCTGTTAAATTGAAGGAGTTGGATGAGTTATAAGGGTCTTTCTAGTTCTTATACAGAATGAGTTTCTTGAGTTCTAATAGGCTGGAGAAGAAAAATAGAAGAATTTGGCCACTAACGTATAACAGAAGTAGCATATACTGGGACACTTGATAAATTATAGACATTTTCTGTTAGGGAGGCTTGTCTGAAGACCAGTTTTATTACTTTAATTTCTTCCTCAAAGACCCTTTTATTAAAACAAAACAAAACAAAAAACAACTTTCACTAATTTCTTCTTGGCTTGTTCGGTTCCTGGTATAGTCTACATGCTTTTTTCTCACCACTGTAAATCTCAAATGTATTCCTGTGAGTCATTAAATATATTTTTATTATTAGAATTACAGCTTCATGTATAAAATTTGAATCCTTTTATATAACAGTTGTAATGATGTTGTGAGTAACAAAGTCAACATCTTGTACAGATTCCTTTCTCATTAGTTATCACAGGGTGCTGGGGGACAAACGTGTTTTCTCTGTTACATATTGGAACAACTCAAGACAGAAGAGAATTGATTTTATTGAGGGTGTCACCGTACTAGGACATTTCTCAGAAAACCCTAAGACTGCTTTGGGGTTGGGGGAGGGAGGAAAAAGAGGGTTTTTTTTTAAAGTCATTTATTTTGTGTACTGAACCCCACATCCCATCACCCATCATTAATAGATGTTTTGCCCTTTTGGATTCTGGCTCTTAACTGTTTTGGATTCTGGATATGTAACTGTTTCTAGGCAAGTAAGTTGATCTCAATATTCTGGTTATTTATTGCTAAGTAACCTCCAAACTTAGTTGTTTAAAACACCGTATTTATTATTATAGCTCATAGTTCTGTGATTTGGCCAGGCTCATCTGGACACTTCCCACATGTGGTCTCATACAGTTGCAGTGAGATGTGGTTGGAATTGGAGTTATCTGAACGCTCTTTGGAGCGGGATGCCCAAGATGGTATACTCATATGACTGGCAGCTGATGCTTGCTGGGATCTTAGCCAGAGTCACTGGAGCATCTACAGAAGAAGCACCTACAGCGGCTTCTCCCTGTCTCTAAGATTTAAAGAAGCTTTCAGCCGGTTAAGGCTGCACTTAGAACTAGCAGTGCCACTTTTATCTATTTCATTGGTTAAAGCACTCATGCAGTCTGCTCAATTTCAAAGGGTGAAGAATTAGATGCCATCTTTTGTTGGAGAAGTGTCAAGGTCACATTGCAGAAGGTCATGTATGTTGTCATCTTCAAAAATTACAGTCTGCTGTATTAAGGCACTGAGCCTTAATTTCTTGTTTATAAAGGAAAGATAACATTATCTAATGGTGTTGTAGTTTCAGCAATTCAGTGAGATAATGTTTTACTCAGCATAATAGCTCAATATTTAACAAATGATAAATATCATTATTGTCTCCATATGTTATACTGGTTCCATACAGGGATATAGAACTTCTAGAATGCCTTACTCTAGTACTTTGGTATCATTACTACTAGGTAGTACTCTTAAGATCTGCCAAGAAGATGCAGCAAATGGATTCAATAGATTTTATAGTGACTTGTTAGGAAAAAATTCTATGGAAGTCGTGAATGATTTGGGAAAACCAAGTCATTTTTCTGTTCTCTTTGCTACAAAAAATTAGAAAAGCCTCAGATACTTGAGGCCAAATTTCTCTTTTGATGTGCTTTCAGATACATTGTGTCTTTAAGTGGAGGCTTATCTGGGGTTGATAGCAGAATCTTGCCTCTAATTTGCTTCCACGGGGCTTAAATTCAGAGAGGAGGGAGACTTAGGAAACCTTGTGGGGGGGTGCATCAAGTTGGAAGCTTTATCTTATGATTCACTATAAATTGCAAGTTGTTCTGGAATGATGATACATCAGCAGTTTATAAGTCATAATTTTTGTTTTAATTTGCTAGACATCTGTTAGCTTCGATGGCAACCATATGGGAATCTAAATTGCCTTTTGAATTACAGGGAGATTGTAGGAAGAAAGCTAAATATGGTTATGAAAGTGTCATATGGGAAAAGTGTAAGAAAGGTATAAAGTGGGGAAAGTAATTGAATATAGACTTGCTTAGTCTGGCCACTCCCTCCGTCGGGCAGTATGCAGGCGCAGGAGCATTCTCACTTGATGATGTACCCCGCAGATTGAAATGAAGCCAAGTGAGGAGAAGTTGGAAAACCAAATAGTGTTTCACCTACCGTAAAATTGCCAAAATGTTTCAC